TTTTCATGTGATTAAAATGTCAGCTAAGAAAGCAAGCCAGACTGAATTCCTCAGTGTACACCTTTGTGCTCGGTTATGAAGAGAAGCATCTTTTTCATTGCTCATGAAATTGAGAGGTTTGTTTACAAGGCATAGGTCCTTTAATTTTTTTTTTACAATAGTTTCAGTATCTTTATTTGCAAAGAAAATTTCCCAGGTAAAATAAGTCACATAAATATTGTATTGGAGAACAGACCTTACACACGGTCTTTGTGTTAAGTCTGTTTTAACACACTGAAGTAAAATTTTGTCAGAATGGAGTTTCCAATAAGCTGTTCCCCAACTGACTGATGCAATGAAGAGGACGAAGAGGAACCCAGTCTGCTGGAGAGTCACAACTCTGGCACCCTTCTCCTGTGACAGAGAAGCTCTTGTGGTAGAAACCACTGCTGGAAGTCACAGAGAGGAGAGACACCCCCAGTGCCAGGCGGAGCAGAAGGGGGAGTAACAGGAGGTCGGTGGCCTTGTCCCCTACCTTCAGCACCCTAATTCCTCTGGAAAGGAGGGTATGGCGAGGGGCTGAAGTAAAAGCCACCTCAGTGTGTCACCTGCAGACAGTCTCCTGGGGCCACTCAGTGGTGCTACTTGCCGCCCGAGACGTTAATTGCCTGACTTCAGCAGTGGATGTGGCCTCACTGTCAATGTCCTCATCAAAACGTTTCCGTGCCTCTGCTCATACTTTGTTACGAGATCTTGCCACACCTTGATTTTTCTAAGCAATTATAAAGTTGCCAGGAAGAAGAAACGGATTTTGCATATACCAGAACAATACAAACAAAACAAAACAAAAGACATCCCAAGGATCAAAAGCCCCCAAATTACATCATTCCATTCATTCCTAACTTGAATGCTAAAGGAAAGCATGCTAGATTCTACTTCACCAATATTTTAATCTACAGTATATAACTATATTAAATATATTAAATATTTTAATCCACAGTATACACCTATATTAAACTACCATCAGCTGCCTCTCCCTTTTACAGCAGATACAGCACACGTGCGCAGATCTTTGGTAGGACTGAACTCCTAGAGCCCTTTGGGCCAGACTAGGATTGTATTCTCTGTGATGGACTCTTACATCAAGGCGGCAAGCGTTGTCATTTTGACAAATCACGCATCATTCGTTTAAGACTGTCTATCCCTCTGGGACATACATACCATCCAATGAGAACCTGAGTGAGCACATGTCATACTGTTTTTAAACACAAATAAATAGTCACTGAATAATTCTAAAGCATTACCAGGTGTCGAGTAGCAGTTTCAGTTAAAGAATAAAGAGTTGTAAGGATGGTCGCTTAGCATAGCACCAGAGAGGATGGAGTCCATTTTAGTGGTGTTCATTCTGTGACATCTGCAATGCAGAACACCATCCAAGCCCTTGTAGATAATGAGCCAACAGCCTTTTCCATACACTGGAAAAATGAGCTACACAGTCACTCCTGGACACTGCTCATAGTTATACTATGTGTCTGTAGTTTTATCAATTTGCCACCAGATAACTGCTGCTGTCTCTTCGGAAGTCTTTATAGTATTTAAGCAGGACTTGGAAGAATAAAAGCCACATAGCAGCTCCCTGCACCCCACATGTGTGTGGGGATTCATTTCAAACGGCCTTGACCTCAAAACTGCATTTCTGTTGATACCCAGATACTCAGGAAACTTTAAAGCATTTGACTCCAATAAAATTAGAGGATTTCTGTTCTTCATATGTGTTTCTCGGCTCAGAAGCACGTTTCTATGGTCCAGTTATTTACAGTTACTAAGCAACTACTGACCGATCCAAAGAACAATTCCTCTTGGCTATTTACAACTTAAATTTATAACCCATTAAATTAAGTAAAGTCTATATTAAAAGTCTAACCCCGAGGAATTTTTATTTTGAAAGGAAGATTCCCCCCCCCAGCGATATGAAAAGAACTAATTACAAAAGCACATTGCACATGACAAGGAGGCATCAAGAGGACCAACTCTGGAGAGGACCTGTCTCCCATGAAGCTTCTGCTGTGTAAAACGGAATGATGACATAGAAGCCTCAGGTGGTAAAAATTAAACAACAAGCTCTTTCTCCTGTTCATCATGTGTGTAGTATAGTAAACACTTGCTTTAATTTCACGTTAGGAAAAGTTTAAATCTTGGGCTTGCTAGTAAAAAAAAAACCATGTAAATTGTGAAAGTTAACTTCTATTTCTTCATATGTTGCTGCCAGGAAGGTACATCAGATATAAACAGTGATGTAACTGCATGGTAGTCTTTCTGTACTAATGGTAGTCACAGTGACCCCTCAGTGGTGCCCAGGGACTGACTCCCCCACAGATTGAAAATGTGCTGCACTAGTTGGCTAAGGACCCTTTTTAGACGCTAGAAAGTTATGGGCAATGAAGTACACATTAGAATCCAGCATCAGCCAAGCAGTCTCAGGTTGTGATGGGAAATAAGTAAAACAGGACAAGGAGTCACAGCAAATGACTAATTCATAACCCACATGCATGGAAAGGCATAATACAAGGCCATCTGCACTTGCAGACACAATGGATGGTTCCTTAACTATAACTTTTAAGAGTCTTATTCTTGTATAAGCAGTAAGAATAAGACAATATAGGATGAGATGATGAGCATTCTCTCAGTTTACCGCTGTTTCATCCATTATGTTCTTGCTTTAAGTGTAATCTAAACTTTACAACTCTCTTGCTTATGTTAATACTTAGACATGTTTAGTTGAATAGGTTTTGGATATCTCTCCTTGGGGATTTGCACAGATACAAAGTTCAGACTCATTCCTCTTGCTCCTCCCCTACACACTCCTCTTCTGCATACAGTATGTGTTAAGGCACGGTGATCCACCTGCGGATCAAACACGGAGTCTGTTATCCTTTCCCAACCTCATCCCAACAGGAGTTCCATGCCGACTAGTCTGTCAGCCTCATCCCCAGGCCAGTCCTTCCTGTTAGAGTTACACAGAGCAGCTTACTCTTTCTGGTGCTTATCCACCTGTACATCTTGTTCATTATGGTTTCTGTCTAGAGCCTAGTTCATGGTCACTCTAGTGACTGGGATGATGCCATAGAGCAGAGGCCATCTTCTCCAGGAAGGAACTCCTGAGGCTCTAGTTCTGGGGTGAGGCCGTCCTCTGCCTACCCAGTGTGTCTTCCATGTAACTCTCTTTCTGCCCCTGACAGACTCTGGAAGTAACACATTAAATGTTTGCCCATGTTTTGAGCACCCTGAGTTAAGTGATCTTGGCTTCATGCTTCATGCATCTGATACGCAGTAAGTGCTCAATGTTTGCCAAAAAATTCATTAAGTGTGATTATGTAGGCTAATACCAGATATTATCTAAGTTTTAGTCTCATTTGAAACTAAAATGTTTTTTAACTGACATATATTTTTAAAAAGTTTACATGTTAATTGAATGTGATGTTTCAGAAAGTGTATGCACTATGTAATGTTTTGACCGAGTTAAACACCCATAGCATCTTCATTCCTTCAGGCCTTTCCCTGAGGCTTTTCGCAATGCCCAGAACACGTTGCCATGGTTTCCCTGCAGCGCAACAACAGCTGGATGGCCTGGCAACCCAATCGCCAGGGCTCGACCTCCCTGCACTCCCTTTTCCCCACTAATTTGTTGTGCATTTCTAATTCTTTTTAAAACACAGACTATTTCAGAGCAGCTTCAGATTCACAGATGCTTGCCAGTTTAAATAAAGAATTGCAATAAAGTTTTAATTGCTAGAAAGTACAAAACACCTCTCAATAAAAATCCCAACACTTGTTATATCAACACAAAATTTAATTATGTATAAGTATTAGCTGTTTTTGAAATCATTTAAGGTAACCTGTGCATCTGCAAATTAAACTTGCTTCTATATAAAAGTGAGAAATAGCATTGCAAAGCACCAAACAAAAATTACAATAACAAAACCTTCCTCAAGTAAGCTGCAACTAGAATTTAAAGACTATTATTAAATAACTATTTCAATATGATGTTATTACACAAGACCTAGTTTTTATAATCAAAGTATTGTTTGCAAAACCAAGATTAGCCGGGTCCAAGAATTAATACAACCTTTAATTATTTTGTGTTGTAGATATACACTCCAATTTCTTATAAAACAAAACAAAAACCTTGCATCCAAACAGAAATTAGAATTAATTCAATTGCCTATAATTTATTTTACTATAAAAGAACACCACATTACATGTCTTTGTTTAAGTAGAAGATATGCTATTATTTTCAAGATACCAGGGTTTTAATGTTTAATTAGCCAACATCCGTTTTGAAAACAAAAAAGACATTGCTTTGACTCACAAATTTCTTAATTGCTAACAGTGGCTTTTCTGAGTAGGAGTGCTGTATATAATTTATTTTTGCGGATGTAATTAGAAACCGAATTTTAAAGCAGCAAAGCCTTGAATATCTTCGCTGTCAGCAGGAAAATCCTTCCATCCCAGCGGCTGAAGAGTACTGCAGCTTCAAGTTTCAACAAGGGAACCAAGACTTAGCGAGGAAACTCACAGTACTGGTAAATGTTGCTTATGGACTGAAAAGAAAAGTTAGGTTATCGGCAATAAACACAAACCACGAGGCGACGTCTCCATCGCAGATTGCTGGGGATGGAGTCGGTGTGGCAAGCTCCGGGGTAAGGAACCTAGGGGAAAGAACCCGAATGGCGCACAGAGGTTGCCTCACAAGGCGGCTAGCTAGCGGAGCCTCTCCCCTGAGGAGCAAAGACACACATTTTCAACCGCAGCCGAAGTTCACTTTGAAACAGGCTGTTTGATGCTGCAAAAGAACACATCGTTGTCACTTTTGAAAGGGATGCGACTAGCCTGACAGTCGCCTTTGCCTCTGGACGATGTCACCATCCGCAAACCGCTGCGATAAAATGACACGAGAAGAATGTGTGTCGTCACGACAACGAAGTCAAGAGAAACATTAAGAGAGAGAAAAAACTTCCTACCGGTTTGGCTGAGCTGAGAGGCACTGCGACTCTTCCGGGAGAGGCCAACAATAGCTACCATTTTGGCCCCAATGCTGGAGCGCCGCTTCTTGCCGCTGGTGCCCAGGGTGCCCACGGCCGTGTCCGACTGGCTGCCGTCGTTCTTCTCCAGCGAGCACATGTCTCCGCTGACGCTCGTGCTCTTGGCCATGCTCTTGCCCGACACGCCCATCTGTCTGCTTTGCATTTTGGATGTAAAGACACTGTCAGCCGGTGGGGCATTAGCAAAGAAGACGAGGGTGGGAAAAGACAGAAGAGGCATTTTAGAAGAAACGCAGCCGGGAACAGGGCAGTCACAGTTTATCAACTTCGGAATGCATTTTTGGGGGTTTAGGGTTTTTCAAGTTGCGTGGGCCCGAGCACGTTCTATTCGCTATCCAGACAACTATAGCACGTAAGGCAACCGCGCACAAAACCAGACTCAATTCTGTTTCTACGCTTGAGGCACTGGTCTGAATGGTCTCGGAGGAAAATAAACACGAGAACCCCCGGGGCTCGCTTAAGAGCGGCTGTGCGGAACGGCCACGTGGGTTTTAAGTTTAAGCAGGCCTATTTAATATTGGACAAATCTTTTAAGAGGACTACATATTTTCCCTAGTTTTATGGTCTAAAAAGTTGTTCCACTTAACTTTGTAGTTATTGGTGGGATTCAAGTTTTCAAAAATAAAGCCTTCCCTCATACTTTTGGACAGTCAGAAAGCAATTAGTGAATCACCGAAACATGGCAGCAGACCGTGGACTCACTGCAAGACGGGACTCGGATTTGTCCAGACCCTGGGGAGTTGTGGGAGATGGGGTGGGGATGAGCATCGGCAAACACACCACCGTTGCTCCCTACGTATCTGGGACCGCGTGAAGGAGGCAAACACACCACCGTTGCTCCCTGCGCATCTGGGACCGCGTGAAGGAAGCAGCAGCCCATCTTGCGGGGATTGGGAAATGTATTTAGACATCATCATTTTGACTTGGTATTAGAGAGTCATAGTTTGCATTTTACTTTGGTCCTGACAATGGGACTGCTCAGTACATGAGAAATAAAAAGAAAGGAATAGGAAGTCAAGAGACAGAAACATCTACTCATTTTCTCCAAGATTTAAAAAGAAAATGGCCAGTGTGAAAACGTAAAACCACACTGAACTATCTTATTCCTCGTATCAATTTTAATGAGAAACAAGGCAGAGAGAAAAGCACTGCTTGCATTTTTACAATAGCACACACTAACAATTTTCACATTTGTTTGATTTTGTTATTCCTTAATAAAAGAGAAAACAGAGTAAACGTTGTGGAAGGCGGTCATTCGGTTGAATCCCAGCTGTGCTGTTACCTTACTGACATATTTTGAAGAATAATTATTTGTGCTGCTCAGAGCCCTGCGATTTTCATTTACAAAACAAGAATATTTATTTTAAATAATTTGCAAGAAATTATAACATTAGGGGGCATGTAGAGGCTAAAGCCTTTCAAGATGCACTACATCTATTTAGCATCGTCTGCAAGAAAGACATTTCTAACTGAACTGAAGAACGCCAAGGGATTAGAGTGTCTGAATGGTTTTATTACGGCCGAATGGTACTGTTGGAAAGCAGACAGCACTGACCGGGACACCAGGTTGATGTTTGCCTTTAGTGACTAACCATATTATCCTGGAGGGACCTTTTCCGTTTCCTGCAACATAGTTTCCTAATTTAAGAAGTGAGAAAATACGAGGAGGAAGGCTCTGGGTGGAGTGTTAGGCTCAGAGCCAGAGCTCTAAGAACTCGGTTTTCCTTCTGATAATACCACACTGTCATCTTTCAATAACATTCTACAAAACGTCTCAAGTAGAAGAGCTGTATCTATGAAACACCTTTCTTTCCAGAGAGCGCTTACTCCATGGATTTGGGGTTACACACACACACACACACACACACACACACACACACACACACACACACAGGTTTAGCCTGTTAGTTTTTGCTTTGCTTTGTTTTTGTCAAGACAGGGTTTCTTTATGTAACCGCCCTGCACCCTAGCTGTCGTGGAACTCAATTTGTAGACTAGGCTGGCCTCAAACTCACAGAGATCCGCCTGCCTCTGCCTCCTGAGTGCCGGGATTGAAGGCGTGCGCCACCATGCCCAGCAACACATGAGTTTTGGAGAATGCTCCTATCAGAAAAAGAGTAACCCCAGAAGGCCAAAGTTTTGTTGAGAGGAAGGCGTTAAAGTAAAAAACATATGTCCCATAGCCATCTATACTAACGGTTCTGTAGTTACACAGGAAAGTGCACTACACTACATACCGTACTAAAGAACATCTCACCTGCCACACAGAAAGCGAGACAGACATAAGCAACCCTTCCTACTGCATCTGATGCTTTCTCATCTTAATTTTCATAGTTGGACACTAAGGCCATGATCCAAATCAAGAAAAATGACAAGTGATATTATTAATTTGTAGACGAGCAGATACTGTGATGTTACTGTGGTTATACAGACATACACTCGCTTTGACATACCCGTGAGCATCCACAGTGGAAGTAAATGAAAAGCTTTATGAAATGAGTGTGCTTTTCCATCCCTGTGCTGACACCCCCCCCGTGCTGACCCCAGGGCTGAGTCTATGAGACCCCCTGTGCTGAGTCTATGAGCGATTGCACTCCTCCAACATGTCTGGGGGAGGTTGAGGCTGGGATTCCTGTCCTTCCTTCACTAGACATCATCGAAAGTTAGACAATCAAAGAAGAGCTTCATTTGGGGACTCCTACATAATGAACTCCCTGGTACTAATAAATGGTCACACATAGTGGCCTTCTGAACTATTGCTGTGGTTAAGAAAGTGCACTTGTCACACTAGAAATTAAGTCTTAGGATAAGGTGTTAGGGGTCTGGAATAAGACAAATTTCAACACAACTGTGGGTCAGTATCACTTTTGTTTTCTATTAGTTTGTGTGGTGTTTTGCTTTTTGTTTTTTGTTTTTTGTGTGGGGGGGGACAGGGTTTCTCTGTGGCTATGGAGGTTGTCCTGGAACTAGTTCTTATAGATCAGGCTGGTCTCGAACTCACAGAGATCTGGTTGCTTCTGTCTACCTCCCAAGTGCTGGGATTAAAGGTGTGTACCACCGCCTCCTGGCTTATGTGGTCTTTCTATGTTTACTTCTTTGCTTTTGAACAATGTCTTGCTATATGACACTGGCTTTACCTGGCACTCAATAGTTAGACCGAGCTGACCTTGAACCTGTGGGTACTCCTCCTGCCTCTGCCTTCCAAGTGCTAGAATTACAGGTATATGTGCACTGTACCTGGGTCAGTGACAGGTTTCTGAAGAGAAATTTGGCAATATAGATCAAACATTTTTTAAAATTATAATATTTAGCCTAGAAATTCTAGTGTCAGGATTTAATCTAAAACTCAATGAATACAGATTTAGCTGCACTTATATTTATTACAAAATTAATAACAATGTAAAAAACAACCTGATGGAAACAAAATATCAAATCTATTAATGTCCAGCTTAAACTGTTCTTCAATAAGGAAGAATATGCTTTTGAAAATGAGTATGTAAATAAATACTTATTAATATGAAAATATTCTTGTGGGATATGGGAAGCAGATATGGTAGCTTCCTTTTGCTGGCACACACATTAAACAGGGATTTACCCCTCTACAGAGGACTTGTCTAGATCAGGTTGTCTGGGGCATGTCTGTGGGGCACTGTCTTGATTGCAATAATTCATGTAGAATGACAATAACTAATAGCAGTGGTGCCATTGTCCGTTTATGCATCCTGGACTGTTGAACACAACACACATGAACTCAACTCTCTCTGCTCTTGACTGCAGATGTGATTAGTGCCTGGGGTCCCTCCCCTTTGACTACCTTCCTATGCTGGACTGTGAGCAGGAACCATGAGCTAAGATGAAACCCTTCTCCCTTAAGCTGCCTCTGTCAGGGTATTTTATCACAGCCACAGGAGTGAAGACTGGACACTAGTTCAGACGGTTTGGGAAGCCTGAATTCATGAGATGAACCGATAAAGTACATGAAAGGGAATAAAGGGAATTTAAAGATAAAATTACTCGTTCAGAAAGATAATTTTAGTAGAAAATGTAAATACATGGCGTATATAGATACCATTGAACTAAAAGCAGCTTTAACTTTTTTCTAGCAATATTTGCTTAAAATGTCCATTTTTTTCTATTCTGGTTTTCCCAGAATAAACATAAAAAATCAGCAATGGTAACAATAAAATAAAACAAATTAGAAGAAGCAAAAGAAAAGAGCAAGCAGGGGCCGATAGCACATTTTCTTTACATGAGCAGAAAGTTTTGAGCCTTGCTCATTCCGTGGACTTAGGACTACAGCTCTCTAGCTATTCCTGCGGGGTTACTCAGCTGCACAAAGGATGCTCAGTTCTAGGTAGGGTTCCCATACTCCTAAATGTTGCTTTATTTGTGTTTTCTAAGATTTGGCTCTAGAAAATGAAAACTTTCCATATTTTGCAGTTTGAAAGTTAGGCATATAAAAATCTTAAAGCAAATGATCAACTTTAAAACAAAATCATACTTAAGATGCAAAGCCAAATCTAGTATTACTGGAGGAAAGTGATGCCTCTTCCCCACAAAGGATTTGTAAATATTGTTCAAAGGGCATATGCAGAACATACAATACATGATTGTACTGAATGAAATAAATTCATTGATATGTTTGAAACAACACAGATAAGTGACTTAGCCTTAATATTATGATTTGTGAGAACGCGGACATAGGAACAGCACTGTAAATAAAATGTTCTCACACGTAAATGAGCATTTCATCACGTGGGGAACCAGCGGGGGGGGGACTTACAAGACTTTGCGAGCGGTGGATTTTAGATTGTGGCAGGTAGAGACGTGGGTCTATCAGCTCAGTACAGCACAGGGGAGTGTGGGAAGCCCAGCAGGGGAAAGATACACGGAGAAAACAGTGGAGTGGGATTAGCTAAACCGGAGAGGCAAGCCTTGACTTCTCCCCACTGTTTTGTCGAGTGTAGAGAGATAATCTGCCAAGACTGCAACTTTCTCGTATGAAGACGTATGTGTGGCTTATTCATACGTGAGGGTGGATATGCCCGTGTGGCGAGTCCAGGGGTCAACATCAGTCAGGTGGGGATGTCTTCTCCTGTCGCTCTCCCTCTTGTTTTCTGAGGCAGCGTCTCCCACCGAACATGGAGCGCACTGACTTAGCTCGACTGGCTGGCTGGGCAAGCTTCTGAGATCCTCCTGTCTCCGACGATCAGTTTTAGGATTACCGCTGTGAGCTTCTGTGCCCGGCTGGTACATGTGTGCTGAGCATCCAAACCTGGGCGTCATGCTTGCCCAGCAAGCAATTCCCCCACCGAGCCAATCCTCAGCCCGTGATTCATTCTTGGCAGCTGTTGGGCAGGCATTTCATTTTTGAAGTGTTATACCTTGAATTTTGCTTATTACTTGCACGGACTTGCAGCTGTATCAAGTTCCCTCCCTTAAAAGCCTCCGTGTCTTGAACACTGTTTCTTTCCTGGCGTATGGAACTTACAGTTGATAACTTACTAGTTATTAAGCTTTACCTCACATCAGCTCAGATCTAAGCAAGTACGGTAGTCATCGCACTATTATCACCACTATGGGGATACAAACGATGACATCGTCTACTGGGCCAGCTTGAGCAGGAATCCACACTCTAATGTCAAGACACCCTGAAGAAGGCAAGCGTTGAAGAAAACCTCTGAAGCATATGGAGAACTTTCTGTGTGTTGAGAGGGCATGTATGCATGTGCACCACAAGGTTAATGTCCAGAGGTGGGGAACACATTTAGCCAAGCAACAAAGTAATTTTGGTCAAAATTGCTTGCTTGCCTCGATTATAGTCATCAGCAATGCATCTTTAAGGGTTCAAGTCTTGGGTCTCATGGCAGGAAGCAAACATCCATGGTCTCAAATAGTTCACTGTTTAGTTGAGATCAACTAGGGGGCACACGTGAAGTCCAGAACTTCTGAAATTCCTTTCTCAATAGCTAGTTAGTATGTGAAATTTCAATACACTAAAACTTCTTCAGCAAAAAAGAATTTTTCTCTGGAGAAACTATTTCTCCCATTTGCAGCATTCCTGAATTGCCTGTGGTTCTTTGTGTGAGCTTGAGACCCAGAGCACACTAATTATCAAATGATCAGCTCTAAAAGCATACATGAGTAACATTATACACACCAAACAGGTTACATTTAAGAACATGCATTCATACACACACACACACACACACACACACACACACACACACACACACACACACAGAGGCTGGACACTGGTAGTGTGCATCTGTAACTCCAGCACTGGAGTTGGTGATGGGTGTGGACAGCTGTATCCCTGAGCTCATTGGCTGATCACCCTATGGGGTTAGACAGTTGGAGGTTCCTGAGCTCATGAGCCAACCACCCTATAGGTGTAGACAAGTGGCGATACCTGAGCTCATTGGTCAACCACCCTATGGGTGTGGACAGCTGGATCCCTGGGCTCACAGCTGGATCCCTGGGCTCATTGGCTAACCACTCTATCTGAATTGATGAGTAAGAAACCTGATCTCAAAAAAATAAGGTGGAAAGTAGTCATAGAGAGAAGTACTTGATTTTGAGCTCTGGTTCCTACACACATGTACACAGACATGCAAATGCCTAGCACGTACATGTGATTCACAGGAGTGCGTACATATATACAAAACACAACCCCACTCCCATAAGACTACATTTAAGATGCTCATGTTTTAATCAGAAGTGTCATTGTTTTCATTCATTGTCAACTTAAGAACAAAGTTATATAAGTTAGAATTTTAAGATGATTTCATTATAACACGTATCTGATAAGCACTGCATTTTTTTCTGATATCAGCTAATACTTTATTATCCTCTGAGATATGACCTCATTGGCCTCTTTCTCCCTTGAATTCCTGGCTAGCAAACATTTCTTGACTCAGCTAATTTCAACCATAGAGAACACCATGGTGCCAATTAACCGCTTCCTTTAGCTAGTATTCCCATACACCTACTTGCTGTCAGGTCCCAAGGGAATGAGTGGGGGCTGAACCGGCGCCTGTGCTCCACAGTCTTGCACAAGGGGGCTGAAACTGAAGGGAACAAAGAATTTTTGTTTGTCTTTCTCTCCACACAAAGAGAATTTCCTCTCGTCAGCCCATTCAACACAAGTGTTCATTTATTATACTCTATGCAGAAGAACGTCTGTCTTTACTGTGTGTGGACTCCACCTGGGCTGCCAGTAGCTGTGGCTCTGCAGTGAAAGAAAGAAGGACCAAACAGTCATGTAGAGCTTGTAGCAAGTGACTGAAACACTTAGAGCTGCCAGAGGCCAGCGACACGACTCAGCACTAGGATATTCTATTGCCGGGAGACCTGACAATCAGAGGTCAGGAAAGCTTTTCTGAGCATGTGTCTGGAACCAGGGGTAAGAAGGACGACACACAGGGAGGAATAGTGTAAGAAACGGCGCAGAATTGAGAGCGTGGCGCAGTTTGAAGATGAGCAGTGTGGCTTGGCCGAATTACACGGTGTCATAGGTAAGGGGTAGTGATGCTAAGTCCTTAACTTACAAAAGCTCCGTCTGCCTTGACCGAGGAGGAGACTCAAGTCCTTAGAGAGCAAAGCATTTGCTCAAGGACTGCTGCTTTAGAGAATGCTCCCCACTGGAACTGGCGTCATCTCCTCCTGACGGAGAGCTTCCGGAGGAAGCTCTCCTCTCAGGCCGAACGCTTAGGGGACCGGTCCAGGCTAACAACGTGGAGTCAGTAAATATTTGAAGAGGGAGGGGCTGATGAGGACGGGAGGATGTAAGGAGGGGAAATGCTAACGTTCCAGAAGACAACTCAGTGATTGAGGGTCAGAAGGGAAGTGACCAAAGGACAGAGAAGAAATCTGGAATACAGATAGATAGTGGTAAATATCACACAAGACAAAGAAGAATATTCTTCATGAAAGCTGGAGTAGCCGAAGGCTGCAAAGATGTCATTTGAAACAAATATCAAAAAGGGACACTGAGTTGGCAGTTTTGAGGGTACACCGACTTTGAAGAAGAACACACCTATTCAGCTGGAGATATCAGTTTCCAGGGGACTAAGCAAGGGATTGAAAGGAAAGAGGGGTGAAGCTATAATAGGAGCGAATTCTAGAAGACTAAATGTTAAAGGAAGAAGGAACTAGAAAGGTCATAGGGTATCAGAAGGTGAGAAAGCTACTTAAATAAGGATTCCTGGTATTTTACTAAATTTTAGACAAAGGTGAAGGATCTTAAGCAAATGGAAAAGAAAATTAAAACCGGTTATAGAAAGTTCTAGTATGGGAAAACATGACATTAAGAATTCAAGCGAAAGTCTAGAAACTAAGATAGCATTCTTACTTTCAATGATTGTAATTTTGGATCAGAGGAAAAGTGTAAAAATTAAGTTTCTAAGATTTGCCATCTTCTGTTTTATAATTGCATAACGTCAACAGAGGAGAACATCCTCAGAAGACGCATTCATTTTTTGTGTGTGTGTGTGTGTGGTTCTTTTGACTACATGTGTGGCTGTGCACAGCATGCAGACCTGGTGTCCGAGGAAGCCAGGGAAGGGGCTGAATGCCCTGGGGCTGGAGTGGGCACCGAACCCAGGTCCTCTGCCAGAGCAGCAAATGTTCATGACCTCTGACCTATTCTCCAGCCTCAGAAGCCACTTTTCTGAGTGTCATCTAACGCTGGTGTGTTTCTGCTCACCCTCTTTAAACCACACACCTTTCGTCAATTTAAAAAGGTTTTCTCTCAGTTTAACTCAATTCTTCACCAGTTCTGGAGGAAACATATTCATTTACCTTTCAAAGTACTTGCATTTCATACTAGGACCGATCCTTATTATTCCTTATGTCTCAGGCCAACCAAGCTAACTACAGCCAATTATTTCTAAACATAAATGTCACAGGCAGTGACAGATTTCTCTCCAACTTTTGTTTCAGCTTTTTTTTGGGTGTCTTCATCACAAGTAATATATACCATTTAAAATAAAGTAAACCTTCTATAATAAAATATTAGGAGATGTATTTTATCCCTGACTTGGGTATCAACTTACATTTTCTCCATTCTTATTATTAAAGGACCTTTAATTGTTAAGATTTTGTAAAAAGGAAACGTGTATTTTTTTGAAATAGGAACACTAAATAAAAATCACATTAAAAATTTCCCTATTATATTGTTCTAGTTATATGAATATTTTGCCTGAATGTATGTATGTTCTGTATGATGTATGAATGAATGTATATATGTATTATATATACTGTATGTATGCATGCATATATTTATGTACTGTATGTATGTACTGTATGCATGTATGTATGTATGTACTATATACATGTATGTATGTACTGTATATATGTATGCATGTATGTACTATATGTACATATACATGTGCTGTATGTATGTACTGTATGCATGTATGCATGTACGTACTATATGTACGTGTGCATGTACTGTATGTATGTACTGTATGTATGTATTACTATATGTATGTATTACTGTATGTATGTATTACTGTATGTATGTATGTATGTATGTATGCTGCCTGCAAAGGTAAGAAGAGGACATCAGAGCCCATGGAAGTGGAGTTATGTGGAGGCTGTGAGTTGCCACAGGGTGCTGGGAACCAAACTCATGTCCTTTGTAGGAACAGCAAGTATCCTTAACTGCCAAGCCATGGCTTCATTCCCGTAAGACAAAAAATTCATATTTCGCCTCTAAACGTGATGCTGGGGCGATAGCTCAGTTGTGCAGGCATGAGGACCTGAGTTTGATTTCCAGCGTCCATGTAAAAAGCCAGGCGTGTCTGAGCATGTCTGTAACATCAGCCCTGGAGCGCAGAGACAGGCAATTCCAAAACACTCCTGGGCAAGCAAGCCTCGTGACAGAGGTGGACTGCAGCTCAGTGAGATACAGGGACTCCTGGAGGGCAGCGGCACAGACCACAGGGCAGAGAATGATGCTTACGTCCTGTTCTGGCTCCCAATGCATGCACTATGACACATGCCCTTACCCTCCACACCACACATAAAAGTAATAAATAAAAAATAAAAATGACACTAAAAGCTAACCTTAACATGAAAACATCCTTTGGATGTAAATTTTACCATAAAACTACAAAATGTTGTTCAAGAGACAATGAATGTTTAAATGAACAGAAGTTGAGAAAATGTCTCTTGACTATAAGTGTAAAATAAGTTAGTGTCATACGTGTGAAAAACAGTATGTATTGTAATTTACCTTAAAAACTTCATTACAAATAAGACAAAGCATCTCCATTCTATTGTCACTGAAATTTATCAGAGAATAAGAACATATCTTTGGCTGAAATTTGATCACTATCTCTGAGACTCTTATCTATTCAAATCCATCTTTCAAACTAACACGGAGAAATCTGCTAGACTTTCTGAAGGCCAACAAGAGAACAAAACAGAACCCCTCTAAAGCTCACCCTACATTTTTTCAAGAATAAATATTTACTACTCATAACGACTCATTTATGCTTGCAAAGTGCCTTTTGTGGAAGCTGTCTTGCATTTGCCTGATGATAATTGCACAAAGAGAAGTGGTTCCTTGCCCTCAACAGTTCTGAGCAATTTCTTACACGAGTCGGACAACAGGATTTGCAGGCACCGCATGCAAATCCCACTGTTCCTCAGGTGCCTGGAGTCAGCAGGTCTACACCAGAGCTGCCAGACCCGTTTTAGTGAGCTTGGTAGGATCGCTCTACAAAGCTGCAGGAAAAAGACTGACCGCTGCCTGTTCTCTTTAGCAGGGGTGGACCCAAGAGGATGCCCTCTGGGTTCACGGTGGTAGCAGAGGACTAGCCAGTGCTTTCAGACAGCATTGCTCTCAGGTCTTCCGTGTGCTTGGAAGAAAAGTGGGCTCGAGGTTACAAAAAGATAGAACAAAATTCAATAGTGTCAAAAACCCTACACGAGAAGGGTGTGCCAGAAATGACACGCTCAACATCACACCACACAGCTTTAAGTGTGGACCTGAAGAAGTTACCAGTTCCCCTGTTGTGGGCATTGGAGTTATTTCTAAATGTGTGTGCACACGCAGAAGCACTTGTATATGATATGATTTTACACCATGTCAAGGATCATCACAGTTTAAGCCTTGGACAAGGAAAATAAGAGTGGATATGAGGACAAACTCTCAGGGAGCTGTCATGTTATCATCCAGCGTCTAGACAAGACTCATCAGTTTGAACTAAACCCATGCACACCCTATAGAAGATGGAGTAACTCTTTGTAACAGGTAAGCAACCCTGTTCACTGTTACAGTTACACTTTCCTTACCTCCTTGGACTGTGCGAGTAGCTTTATTTTGAATTAGTTTACATATAAAATTTCCACAACTGTTTATTCATTGGCCGCTAGAAAAAATACTATTCATTTAAAAGCATGCCAACAAAGACTGGATTTAGAATACTTGCTTAGCTAATATTTGTGCGTCTAGACAATGTTTCAGTCATAATTTCCTAACATAAGTTTTTTTTTCTACCACCATCGTGATGAAAGGAGATCTTGAAAATGCTAGACATTTAGCACTCTTCTCTCTTTTTACATGTGGAGGTCAGAAATAACTTGGGACAACATGCAGGAGCTGGTTCTCTGCTACCACGAAGGGATCGAACACAGGTCCTCAGGCTTGGCAGCAGGTGCTTTCACCTGTGGAGCCAACTTGCCGGCCCTTGCCCTTGTTTCTAGATCCCAAGTTAATCGACCTTGCAAAGACTGCACCGCTGCGCTGGAGCGTCGCCTCACTGGGCAGAATGTGAGGGTCAGGCGACGGCCATCCAGTGAGACTGTGCTTGGCCTGTGGGAGTTAGGTGAGCCGCTCTTTGGTCCAGTGCAGTGGTCGGCGTTTTTCTAGTCTATAAACTACATGAAGTGAGAAGTGAGCATCTTTTGTTCAAAATCATGCCTGCCACCGTTTTTATTGTGTAGACCGCGCTCCCCGAACTCTACGTTACTTAGGTTCCTCAAATGCTCATTTTACATGGAGGGAGTAACAACTGAAGTGGGGTGACTTTGCTCCTAGCTAAATGCTACGGCAGATTAA